CAAAACCTCGTCGTTGCCTACATGTTTGGCCCATGGCATCCTCAGCATCTTTCAGTAGGACAACATTTCTGATGCTTCAAGTCTCCTTTTCATCTTTGAGGTGATTGTCCAGCATTTGCTGCCATACACGAAGACAGATATCACGTAACAGTGCAATACTATTTTCTTTGTTTCTGTCGAAATTTCTATGTCTCTTAATACTCTGCTTAGCTTTTGGAATGCATCTTTGAACATCCCAATACGTCTTCCGATCTCAGTGTCACACTTTCCGTTCTCTGTTAGAACTCTTTTCAGATATTTAAATTTGTACACATGTTTCATTTTAGTATCTCTGGTCTGTAACTTGCATTTTGGGCTCAGCATTTTGCTGATAACCTTGCATTCTGTCTCCTCTCTTCTCGCTTATATTTAATGATTGAATAAGCGACTTGCGAGTTCCACGACTGTAAAATATTCATAGAAATCCCCTTCTTGTCTTGTTAAATACTTGAACTTAAAAAACTTCAACAAAATATTACAGTTACAATCACAAGTATGAATGCAGGTCATTATTTATAGAAGTAAAAGAGGCGATATGAAACGATTAAGAATTGACGAAGCTTTCCAACTCACTATAGCAGACGTTAAACGCATAGGAGCATTATCACCTACTACATCTTCCCTTACTATCTTTCTTTAATCCATTCATCCATTCTTTCTATTTTTTCTTTCTTTCCCTAAAAACCAAACATCTCTTTTGATCTATCCTCGAAACCAAACAGCAATGGCCAATCCTTTATCTGACGTCATGATAGGGTGTAACGTACGAGTTAACTAACTACGGAACGAAGGAACAAACAGAATTATAATCTGATAAACGAGGCTGCCTAAATCACGGTGTTACAAGGATATATGTGGATACTGAGAAACGTGATGGTGATTTGAGAAACAGTTACCTCCGTGCTAATCAGCAGAAACCTGATGTTAACACGGAAATACATGACATAGCTCGTTCTTAAGGCTTAATTCTTTTCTATGGCCATGATTATGATAATTATCGAAGAACTGGAATAAAGGCAAATGCTGCATCAGAAAACCCCAAAATGATACCTAAAACAAAATGTGAGTAAAAGCAATTCTACGGAGACTATAAAAGACGAATGAAAGAAACTGCAGACCAAGTGGCATATGAATGATTGTGCAAAGAACACTTTAAGAAGAAAATTGAATCCCTGTATATAAACCAGAATAGGCATAGTAGAAGCGTGAATCTAGACAGGATAGGAGAAACTGTTCAGTGAAAGAATACGAGAAATTAATTGAGGAGTTTAAAAATAAACTGGATAGAAAAGGTGATCCACTGGGAATAATTAAAAAACAATATCTGGGATCTGACAATATAAAATGATAGTATTTGAATAAACAAGGAGCGATACCGAATGCAAGAAATGTTAAACTCTTATGTGACTTTGATGTTTAAAACAGTAACCCACTACAAACCCACTGTTTAGATAAAGACATCATATATAACGTACAGCAATTTTTTTTCGGACAGAGAAAAATTCAAAATCTCATAGAAATAACGAAAATTACCTTCCAGAAACTAAGCAAAGTATCATTAGAAGCAAAGATAACATTGATGAAGTGCTTTATAGTCTTCTATATGGAAATGGATTTTCTCAGATATGATTACACCGACGAATACTAATATTATAATAGATAGAAGATGAACAAAATAAAGACTTATAATAAATAACACCAAAGAAACTGTCATGGGTCCTTACCTATAACTACAGAATGAACTCTTCCTAACACTATGTATACTACGCCTCTCAAGGGGCGAATCGAATCGAGCCGATAGTAGTTCACTCCAAACCAGACTGACAGTCATACTAACACCTTCTACATCTTGTATTATTATTTCGTGTAATATACATTCGTTATTTCTACTCTTGTGTTCGTGTTGTTCTTCCTTGGTCCTAACCTGGACCATAACACTAACATACAATCAAAATGAGGCATTTGAAATTTTGGGGACATATAATAAGAGGGGGTGGGCCTAGAGAATTTAAGACACAGAAGACATACTTAAGGCAAGAGAAGCAGAGAGAAGTAGTGAACAGTATAATGATTTTTATGAATCGATGGCAGAGCAGCAACAAAGGGGAACAAACAGAGACCAAAAGCTGTGGAGAGCCATGATCACCGACGTCCTGAAAGGATATGTCACATAAAAAAAAAGAAAGAACAAATAAAGTTGCCAATGTCGCTTCTCCAGCAGAAAACAGAGGACAATTGAAAGGGAAGGAAATGTTATGAAATTATCAACCAGAGAAATTAAAAGTTAAATAAGAACAGGACATCTTTATTGGAATGGTCAGGAATAACCTCAAAAAATTTGAGCTGGTAACCGGAGAAAAAAAAAACGTTGCTGTCCAGACGAAAACAACAGGAAAATCATATAGAATACTAAGGAAAGTAGAGGTCGACCATCATTCATCCGGCAGTATTGGCACAATATACCGGATAATTTATTTTACCGGATTACTGATGTTTATATTAGAATACAGCTTAACCCAACCGCTAACCATGTCATAGTATTTTTAAAATACTCTCTAAATCAATACATATTCGTTAAAAAATTAATTAAAATCAAATCTGTTATATACAATATATCGTGTTTGTACCTCGCACCAACCAAAAGTATTTCCTGTATACACTGGTGCCAGGAATGGCGCTAAACATCAGGAGATATACTAAAAAAATGTAAAAAACAAGTCGAAATGCCTTACAAAGTTCTACAAAAACAGCCGATGTAACAAGTAACGCCACTTGCTAGGAGATCCGTGCGGTGATCGAGTCAGTATGAAATTGCTCTCATGGAAATTAGAGTTTGAACTGGATCACTGATTGCTGGATTGGTGATAACCAACCTCTGTAGAAGTGTTAAATAAAATGTCAGTTGATATCTGCCCAGAAGATCTTGAAACAGATAAGTTGTATCGTGCTTTAAGGATATGTGACGATGTGGTCAAATTACTGTAAGGTTACAAACAATTATTTTCTTGACCCCCCCCCCCTCAAACAGATCACTCTCCCCCAAGAAAACATTGTTAAGAGCTATAAAGAATAGGAGGATTTGGAGAGCCATCATCGCCAACGTTATGAAGAAATACGGCACAGAGAAAAATCTTCACAGCACATAACAAATGGCTGTAGCTGAAAAATTCCGCACTGGGTCATTACACCAGCAGAATAATTTTTTTTAAAGTACATATATATATAGATATAAAATTTATTTTCATATTTGTTTAAATTGAGAATGCCTAAATTTGCAGAATAATACAAGTTGGAATCTCTTTGTAGAGATACAAAAGGCGATTATTTCATTTTAGACGAGATGAAGTCACGAGTGTGACGTGACGGGCGCTTAATGTGAACGCTTAATAGAGTGACGAAATTGACTATCAGTTATTCAAATTCTAGGAGTCCAGCCGAGCAGTTGATTTTTTAGCCCCAGGGACTGAGGCTAAATCTACCTCCAACAACCACGTTGAGCAGCTTACAAGCTTACGGCGTTGTTTTACTCTGGAAATATAGCCTCACCAGATATAGAAAATATCTCCAACTTGTAGTCCTCAAATTGGGACAAAGCCAGGACTCGAAGTTTCCCGTTTGCAGAATATGTCTTCGATAGTGACATAACAGATGAACGAGGCCCGCAAAAATCTGGAATCCTAAATCTGGCTTCTCCAGAAACACAGAAGAATCTCCGACAGCTCCCATTCCCATTGGGAATTATTTTAAGTAAGACACTATCTTTTCACACTGTTTTATATATATATATATATATATATATATATATATATATATATATATATATATATATATATGTTTTATAATTTCTCTGCTTGGGAAATATGTATATGTAAATATGTATATATATATAATTTTGCGTATGATTTAGCGGGAAAAAACTCTCTGTGGGAACAAATCATAGTTGTCATTCTTTTTCCTTTCAGCTATTTCGTTCCTTCCGTCAAATACGATGTTACTATATCAGAGATACAATAATGCCTATAATGGGGGCGGCTGCGAACGGGAGAATAATCTTTTATTCCATAGCGCACCCATTATTTGGGTCAACATAACATGACATGATATTTAGACCCCATTAACTGATGAACTCGCGATATGAACACGCATACAAATATGAAATGTTCATCTCTCGCACAGTATAACGATGACAATGCAAATAGGCGAATAAACCTTTCTTCCATATCTTACCCATTAACTTTCTGGGATTTTTTTTGCCCATTTTCTATTGATGTAACTTTACAAGTAAAATTATTTGCAACATTAAAAATTAAGGTTGCAGGCATGTTGAGGTGGAGGTAGGGAATCTATTTTCTAACTTCTGTGTAGCATAGCAGAAAGTTTGCGGCAACATCATTCTGTTAGCTGGGTTTAAAAAGAGACCACAAACGATTTTTGTGGGAACCGAATAAGAGTTATAAAAGCACTGATATTCAAATAGTTTTTTTTCCTGAATTCTCGAAAACATTCTACTGGAATTCAATTCAACCAAATCAGATATAGACGTCATTTTTCTAGTCATCATACCAATGCATTCCTCACCTTCTATTCTCAAACAAATCTTTTCTATAAGATAGATCGAACAATATGAACGGATTGAGATAGATAGATATGTACGGAATAAGATAGATAGATAGATAGATAGATAGATAGATAGATAGATAGATAGACGGGGATAGTTAGATATATATTTTATATATGTATGTATGTATCTATCTCTCAGTATAACTATATCTATAGTTATATTGAGAGATAAATACATACATGCATATGAACAGATAGATAGATAGATAGATAGATAGATAGATGAATAGATAGATAGATAGGAATAGGAACATATGAATATATATATATATATATATATATATATATATATATATATATAAAGAGAGAGAGAGTGAGGGAGAGAGAGAGAGGGAGATATATCAACAAATTGAGGTAGATAGATAGAAACAGTCCGAGATAGATAGATAGATAGATAGATAGATAGATAGATATGAACGGACTGAGATAGATAGATAGATAGATAGATAGATAGATAGATAGATATGAACGGACTGAGATAGATATATAGATAGAGAGAGAGAGAGAGAGAGATATGAACGGACTGAGATAGATAGATTGATAGATAGATATGAACGGACTAAGATAGATAGATAGATAGATAGATAGATAGATAGATAGATAGATATGAACGGACTAAGGTAGATAGATATGTATTAAAAGCAAAACGCTTTTGCCTCCTTTACCAACCTCGGCAATATTTATTAATTTTATACACATCAGCTGGTAATGTCCTCGAATCTGATTTCTGTTTTAAACGGATGTTTATTTTTGTTCTCCTATTTTCCAATATATGCTGTATATATTTATTAAAGTTTTGAGTAAGAACGTAACTTCAATCAGAAAGTGTGTCTCTGCCATCCTATCCTAGATCACAATGTCTGCTCGATTGTCTGCAATAACCTTGTCTGTGTTAGTAGCTATGTACGACATGATTATTTATGGAGTCACTGATGTTAGTGAAAGGACATAGCTCATGTTCAAACCAGTGCAAAGTTATTTCATGGTCGAGTGCCCCGAAAATTGACCAACGCATATAGTTTGCCACCTTGCAATGACTCCGTTGATATCCTGTCGGCGCCAACGGTAGATATTCAGCCACTCTAGGGCTTATAGGCTTGTCAGACAATGGTAAATTCTTCATTTCCTTTCGATCTCATGCTTTTGAAATTGTCCCCGGTTAATTCGTGTGCTCAGCTTTGGTCTTGGGCTGCAATCAATAAATCTTCCGTTTCTCCTTTGAGGATGGTGCCTCAAAGCTCTGTACAGGATGAGTGCCCATCAATGAAAGCCTGCACTAATAGCTCCAAATCTCGTCCGAGAAGAGGCCACGCTTTATTTTTTTGCCATTTTGTGCTCTCCTTCTAGCGGTTTTGCAAGGAAATTCTCACTGATTCGCGCAGGTGGAGTAATTTCTTTCTTTCTTTCTCTTGATTTCAGATGCAGCCATGCATAGTGGACGTTTGACACCAGGTCAATGTTCATGTTTTCCAAAGTTTGGACTGGCACTAGTTGAAATACAGAAACTGTTACGCTAATCTTCCAAAGTGGGAAGGCCATGCTCCTTTGAAAGTCATCATTCGGGAACGTGACTTTAAACTTCGCAAGACTTTTTCTTACTTAACTCATATCTCTAACTTATATATCTATGTGTGCGTGTGTATAAATTTGGATACACAATCCCGACAAACATTGAAGAAATATGCATACACACAAAGAAACACACACACACGCACATTTTCTTTTTCTTTTTTTTATGAGATGACGCCTGGACAGGTAAAATGCGTGTTTAAATCTAGTTTCAATGAACACACACACACACACACACTCACACAAGACACACACACACACACAGAGGAATATGCGTGTGTGCGTGCTGTGAAGATTTTTCTGTGTGCCGTATTTCTTCATAACGTTGGCGATGATGGCTCTCCAGATTCTCCTATACTTTATAGCTCTTAACAATGTTTGCTTTTAAAATTTCCTTCCCACACGCTGTTTTCCTCTGTCCTATTACTTTCAAAATGTCTTGTGAGTATCAAATTCTCCGAGTCCTCTTTCCTGATTAGGTGTTCCAGAAATTTCAACTATCTCTTCCCGGTTCTATGTATGTGTCTTTTTTGTTTCTATTCTACATAAAGTTCCTACTTATTAAAAACAAGTTAAGACATCTACCAGGAACATATATATATATATATATATATATATATATATATATATATATATATATATATATATATATATATATATATATATATATATATAAGCTACATTCTTGTGGTCGTGATCATAAACATCCTTAATATATTTACATACACGCTTCCTCCAGTTGCCCAAGCAGCATGAACATAAACAAAACAGATGGGAATGGCGGGCTTTCAACTTCTTCACGATGTTTCTCCTTCCTAATAATCACACATACACATGCACATATATATATATATATATATATATATATATATATATATATATATATATATATATAGATATATAGATAGTATAATGGAAAGATATTTAGGTCCAATTCAACATCGCCCGTTTTTTTTTTTTTTTTTTTTTTTTTCAGCTGGTGTTAGAGAAGATAAGGTGACTGAACTTGGCATCCATGTTCTCGTCGCCATCATATTTGCTCTGACTCAGCGGTTACAGGTGAGTCAATAAATTATTAGCTTACTAATAAAATGAACGTATCAAATATTAATTTTCCAACATAATCACCTTCGTTGTTAATGCACTTAATTATATATCGGATATTAACCCCATAATGAAAGCTAGAGTTTCGACTAACCATCAGATGCATTTATATATAGGAGTGGGTCCTGAATATTTATTGGAAAATTCCACATCACAAAATGTAAGCAAATAATTAAACTCATATTGAAATCCCTTTATATATATTATGTCTATTTATTTTTATTTTAATCCTCCATGTTCACAAATCAAATTCTTAGAGTCTGTACAAAATTGATCCAGAAAAATAATTATTCATATGGTCTTTATTTTTCCAAGTACATTCAATCTCATCCAAGATTAACTTCAGGGAGTGAATTGCGAAGACAAAGAATGAACGTAAGTTCTGAATACGCGAGGCTGCGCTCTGTAAAATTCGAGTAAATTACCGCTATGTAAGTGAGCTATCTTAATTTATCCGAATTCATATTAAAAATTATAATGACGTGTTATAAATATTGTCTGTAATTGTGGTTTTTAAGAACCAGAATTTTGAAATTTTAAAACTTTGCTGTTATAAACATTTTAGACATTTATTGCTATACTCATAAATGATTTAATTTTGGTCGTAAATTTTTATGTAAAGGGCTTCCAGAATTTGAAGTTTTTTTTTTTTTTTGGGGGGGGTCATAATGGATTATAGTTGTATTTTCATTTAATATATTTCTAAATCATGAATATGGAGATTGAACTATAATCATTCACAAGATATATAAGTCTTCTTGACAGAGTTGTGGTTGTAAAACCAACATATATATTAACATTTTTGTCAGAGATAATGTCTTCCAAATGACATTTAAATTGATATATGATTTTTTTTTGATTTTTTTTTTTTTTTTGTAAAACGCTAGTTAACGACGAAGAGATATTTCGGATGATTAAGTCGGTTGTACTTAATTTAGTATAATTTATAATTAGTATTTTTTTTACTGGAATCAGTGGGGGGCATATTTGTACATATGAGTTTTTTAGGATTTTTTTATCTTGCTTGTAGTTGGAATGTATTTGATTGTGGTATCGTAGGTTGATATGTTTAAGGTTATTTGAGGAAATATTATGTTCTTTTTGATTTATGTTAATATATCTAATAGCTCGTTCATCAGCAATGTAATTAGGAAATTCATTATTAATGAGAGTTTGTTTAATTTGTTTTGATGCAGCGTAGAAAGTCTTTAAGGTTGACGAATTAGCTTTTGCACAGTTTACAAAAAACTTTCAAAAAACTCCATCCTCAAGTTCACATACGAATTTAACAATAACAATATATTGACATTATTGATAGACACTAATATTAATACACTTATTACCTCCTCATATAAAAAAAAAACCCAACTAGCATAAACACGTGCACTCTCGATTATAAAAGGGAATGTCCTAATTATTACAAAATAGCTATTATACGAAATTTAATAAACTGTGCAAAAGCTAACATTTCAACGAAAAAGATTAAATTAAAAAAAAAATTAATGAGCTTGTATGGTTTACATTACTAATGAGTAATGAACTCAATCTACGCTGAATGACCCATACTTATAATTTTGTACTAAAAGCTTAGTAAATAGCAATTTTGAATATAATATTTTTAGTGCCGATGTCATCTATTTACTCATTTTCCAGTGTATGACGGGACACAATCTGTCACGTCGCATTATTATTATATAAATTTACATAGTGATGGTTTCAAACACCATCAATAATATTAAGCGACTCTGTCAAGTCTTAAGAGCGTGGAAATAACGCACTTTCTTCAGGATACATAACTGTTACCATTTGCTGTCTCTAAGATGATTGGACATTTTTTAAAAAAGTGGCAAAAAACAATTATGATGACATCGAGTTGTTTTCTATCCGTTCTTTTTGATTGACCCAGGGACTCTAGTGATAATTAACACAACATTAGCATGTCCATTAAGTATTCCATTCTCTGAAAATCAACCCTCGAATCTGAATAGATACAGTTTTTTTAACTTCTTTATCTGAAATGTATCGATCTCCAGGGCAAGTCACATCAATTGGCATTCATGAGGATTTATTTAGATTAATATTATGTCGGTTACATTTCTGGTGTGTTCAATAATTCTGTCAGTATGAAATATGAAATCCCACACGAGTTACACGTGTTCATTTTCCAGTATCTTATTATCGGCTTCTGTTTTAGCACATTTCCATTGTAGACATCAACACAAGGAGAACAACACACTTCGATTTCTTGACCTGACGTTAAGTGGAGCGACTACATCGAATCACCAGCTGCATCTACTGCAAGGAAAGTTGCGCCACGGTGTCGTGCCAGAATGTGATGTAATGGATAGCGCTTTCGATGAAGAAATCGGAGAGTCAAGTTTCAATCAGATTCGAATTTGTTACATTCCCTTCGAAAAGGTGTAAATCCATCTTTCTGTCCCGGCTATGGATAGAATGAACCTTATAAACTTGGTTGGCAATCAGTATAGAGAAGATATTCGCTTCTTCCAAAAAATTGTCGTTAATTCTGCACAGTCCTTCATTATTATTATTATTGAAACATATTTTATCACCACAGAGAACCATTCTGCCTGCCGTCAGCATGGCTGAGGCAAAACCCCAGGAGAGCAACACTCTTGGCCTCATGTTTTCCATTAACATAAATGGAGCGATTGCATTGAATCGTTACCATTATTATTATCGAATCAATTGCTACGTCTATTTCAAGGTAAGTTGGTGCACTGTACGTGCCAGAAAATTTTACCATGAAAATCCATTGACTCCCGGTCTGGTGCTCCGATTATACATCTAAAGATTCTTGACAAAATCCAAAGAAGAATCTGTAATGTAATCGACCCTGTCCGAGCATCTCGACTCCAGCCACTTTCTCAGCGACGTAATGTGGCTTCACCTTGTCTTTTCTACAAATATTTTCATGGCAATTGCTCTGACGTTCTTTCTTTCTCCAGGTGCTCCAACTGCATGAATTTAAGCGTGCTACTAGATTGGCATCGAGGTCCCACCTTTTTACTATTGAAATAGCTAAATGCACTTCTACACCAACAGTCTCTTTTCTCGCATTTCCCATCGGTGGAACTCCCTTCCGTTTACTTGCTTCCCTAATTACCACAATTTTCAATCCCTGTTTTCTCTCTTTTTGAATCGTCATTCATCATTTATCCTTTCCTTAATCTTCCCCATTCTCAGTCTTTTCATTCACTTGCACCCCCCTGTAACTCCCTGCGCAAGTGAAAATGATTTGTTTTTTTGAAAAATGGAGATGCCAATGCAAAATGTCATGGCGCTCTCTTAATAAAGTGTTTGGATACTGTTATTCTTTTAATCCTATTTGCAAGTTCACTCAAGATGTCATCTGAAGACTGGGTGATATTATACCTCACACCTAATCATCAGGATCATCGCAGACCCTTCCTCGGATTTTCACTTCCTTCAACGTTGATTTCCGTCTTTTCTGCACGATTCCAAGTGTGCCTAATTTATGAACACGATTTTAAGCATCATGCTCAGATCAATGATTAAAAATGGCTTCCAGCGACTAAAACATTTACGCTTCAGCGATGAACATACTTCTTCAAACCTCGTGGTCTGACGTTACAGAATGAAAAAGAATCGGATAACTGAAGCCAAATGACTTGAGGACTTTCAACAGTAGCAACAGCTAAAATTGATAGCATATGTAGCTCAAAGAGAAAATGATGACATAATCAAGATGTTGACATTTCACGCTACTTCAAACAAAAGTTTAGGAAAGAAACGCCCATCAATACTGGTAAAATTATTAACAGGTACTGAACATAAATACAACAACTATATTTCAACCGAAAGCAGCACTCTCTGTGCGGTCAATGAATGGGAAACGTTTCATCATAAGAAAATGGCTAATATGACCATTAATCTTGCCATTCCACATATTTTCTAACTCTCCAGCAAGATTCGAGAATTTTCTCATATTGTCAATGTCTTTCATGTTCACCCAGGCGTCTATTAATACTGATATGTCCACGATCTGTCAGGTCCTATATTCATGGTAACCCTCTTCGGTATTCTTTCTTGGATCTTGTGATGGGGGGTAGATATAAAAAAAAAACTTAGAGGCCGTGGCGATCCCAAATCCTTTGCACTGTTCTCGTTGAATGACTTTATCTCAGTCATTTTTTTCGCAAAGGTAACAGCTGCCATTACGGGTATCAATAGTCGTTTTGATGTTGCCTGTATGATATAATCTGTTTTGGTTTACAACGATGGGACATTGTTTATCCCTCTTCAGATCTCCATCACTTTTCATCTATTGTATCTTCTATCTCCTTGGTGTTTTTCCCCATTTTTCTGCAGTTCTTGTTTGGAGTATTATTATTATTATTATTATTATTATTATTATTATTATTATTATTATTATTTCCTTTGATTTCTGGTGTGTATACATTTCTTTCCGGGTCACGCCCAGAGAACTAAGGTTAGAAATTGCATCATGACATTTTCCACGGACCAATAAAAAAAAAATGGAACACATATTTTACATAAATAAAGCCCTTCATAAAGTGTTTGGATGTATGCGTGAGAATTTTTGTATTTCTTTAAGGTATGAACTTCCTGGAATCCTTTCGATGAGTCTACTGGAATCTTATCCAGACAATCCGAGGGCTCCAACTACGACTGGGATTGTTGATGTTCCCATGTGTCACATTTTTGAGATTTCGATATCAAGGTCCTTGTATTTTGACAGATTTTTGAATATCTTCAATGATACAATGCAGTGTGCAGGGACTGTCATATCAATAAACGGAAATTGGAACATTGCTTTTTGTTTGCGGTCTCTAATAATAATAACTGGGCGGTTAGCTTTGAGTGTTTTTGTTGTTGCTGTTGTTGTTATTATTATTATTATTATTATTATTATTATTATTTCCTTGGATTTTTGTTGTCTACATATTTCCTTCCGGGTCCCAACTAGAGAAATAAGGTCAGAAATGGCTTCATGACATTTTCCACTCTTCATCTTTGTTAATAAAAAAAGAAAAAGAAAACAAATCTAAGATCCCACATATTTTACATTGATAAAGCTCTTCGTAATATGTGTACTGTACTTATGAGTACAATTTTTTATATTTCTTTAAGTCATGGGCTATCAGGGATGCCTTTAATGAGTCTATCGGGACCTTTTTCAATCGATCCATGGGCTCCAATTACAACTAGAATTATTGATGTCCTCATGTGCTACATTTTTCAGAATTCCACTTTCAAAATCCTTGTATTTTGAAAGTTTTTTTTTTGTTGTTGAAGATCATCAAAGATGCATTACAATTTGAAGAGACTGCCATGTCAATAAGAAGGCACATTCTGTTTTTATGGTCTTTGATCACGATGTCTGGGTGATTAGCTTTGATTGTTCTGTTTGCATGCATTGTAAAGTCCCCTAAAATTGTTACAGGTCCTATCTCTGTAACCGGGTCATACCAATTTCTTATAGTTTCCTTCCAGTATTATTATTATTATTATTATTATTATTATTATTATTGATTGGCTAATTGATTCGTTTTCTACGACTTATCAACCCGTTGCAGGTTGTATTAAGCCAGAAAACATTTTTAGACTATAAGAATATTTTTGGGGGAATAATATTTGTTTAGTGATACAAGTATTACTAATTAAATTCATAGTCAAAGAGTTGGATTCATACTTTTGTCAAGATTACTTCCCTATTATTTCAATTCTTTGAATATATAAATCAGATGTTTTGCAGTTATTGCAAGAATCTGAGTGACAGAAATCTCCTCATATCTCCGTCCTCTCCCCTAGTATCCTCACATATCGTACCACTGATGTGAGGTGAAGACACTAAATCAGCCAGAAATTTCCTATTCATCCAATAAGAACATTTTGACGCTGTTCCAAATGTACACACGATTACCGGCATGATTTTATCATTCATGTATCAAACATTTCTCTATTCCTCTAAACCTTCTGATTCCTTCTCTTTTTCCAGTTCTCAAGCTAGGTCTTGATATTTTACAATATTTCACACTTCTTCAGATGTCAATTTTACTAGTCGTTGTTTTTGTTTTGTTTTTTTAATTGTGTTTTGTCTTCTGTCTTCGATAAAACACCCCGTGCTTCTGAATCTTAAACGTCTTTGAATAGTTTCATTATCAGTCAATGCAATTTGATTGTTGCACTTTACGTCGCACTGGAAGAACTTGCCACCTATTCAAACTACATTTTGCTTACTTTACAAGTTGATTCGATTTGCCTCTATGCTGTACAATGTCTATTTAAGTGGGCGCCGTATGTTGATCTAAAAATAGCGAATAAGTAAATGGTAGATATATGATCAATTCCAAGGCAAACCTTTCTCTTCTCGGCTCGCTCTCGAAGAATGACTCATGGATAAGAATTAGTAACCGCCGTGTTTGAGCATGAAAATGCAGAATCGAAAGACTAATCCTTTGTAACCAGAATAAGAACGTATGCACAGAAATAGTCAACCATCAACTACTATTATTCATGACTTAACGAATTATAAGTGTGGTGTGTCTATGAACGTGGGTAGAGATGAAAAGTTCCTGGCCGGAAGAACTTACCAAATTCATTATCTCAATGATCAAGGGTCAGGATAGGGATTTTGGAAATACTTTCTACAGAGAACGTTTCAAAAGCCCTTGTACGTTTATAAGGTTTGCGGACAGGCAGATAGATAGATAGATAGATAGATAGATAGATAGATACATAGATAGATAGATACGTTTGAACAGACTGAAATAGATAGATACGCCTGAACAGACTGAAATAGATGCGTCTAAACAAACTGAAATACATAGATAGATAGATAGATAGATAGATAGATAGATAGATAGATAGATAGATAGATAGATACGTTTGAACAGACTGAAATAGATACGTCTGAACAGACTGAAATACATAGATACGTCTGAACAGACTGAAATAGATGCGCCTGAACAGACTGAAATAGATAGATAGATAGATAGATAGATAGATAGATAGATAGATAGATAGATAGATAGATCTGAACAGACTGAGATAGATACGTCTGAACAGACTGAAATAGATAGATACGTCTGAACAGACTGAAATAGATGCGCCTGAACAGACTGAAATTGACAGATAGATAGATAGATAGATAGATAGATAGATAGATAGATAGATAGATAGATAGATAGATAGATCATAACTATCTATATATCTAATGATACGCATGGTGAATGGTTAAATTATATCTGATTCAATAGTAGGATAGGGATTTTGGCAGCTCGTTTTACAAAGCATGTTTTGGCACACGCTGTACGGATATAAGGGCTGTAGATAGATATATAGATACTTCGTATCGCTTAAAATACACATGGCCTGGTGAATGAAGCGTTGGTTATAGTATATATGTTTCCATGCCAGTTGTGGCTTTAATCCCAGCCTCTCGTAGGGATATAATGTCACAATATGCAGTTCAGTTCAAAGGAGAAAATATCGAAAAAGCCAGACGTAAGTAAATGAACCTGGGGGTTACTAATACAAAACATTCCCTAAATGTGATAATTGGCATTAGAACAAGCTACTCTCCTCAGTGACGAAAAAAAAGATTTTGGTTCTCAATTTCAATAAGTTTATAGAGTCTGAAGCCAGACAGGAGACCGGGAATACCACAACTGAAAAGTTGTGAATATAACAACGAAGAAAAATATGCAGGTGTAAAAAATTCACACGATAGATAGATAGATAGATAGATAGGTAGATAGATAGATAGATAGATAGATAGATATGAACAGACTGATATATATATATATATATATATATATATAGATAGATAGATAGATAGATAGATAGATAGATAGATAGACATTAAAAGGGTCCAGCTAGATAGATATTTAAAAAGCTAGCTAGTTAGATAGATATTAAAGGAAAATAGATAGATTGATATTAAAAGTAGTTAGATAGATATTAAAAGGAAATAGATAGATTGATATTAAAAGTAGATAGATAAATATTAAAATGATCTAACTAGATAGATATTTAAAAAGCTAGCGAGTTAGATAGATATTAAAAGTAGATAGATAGATAGATAGATAGATAGATAGATAGATAGATAGATATTAAAATGATCTAACTAGATAGATATTTAATAAGCTAGCGAGTTAGATAGATATTAAAAGGAAATAGATAGATTGATATTAAAAATAGATAGATAGATAGATAGATAGATAGATAGATAGATAGATAGATAGATAGATAGATATTGTAGGACACTGAAACAGTAATGGATATCCGTATGAATTGTAAAATTTTATTTTCGGAAAAGGAAAGAACAGTTCCTTTCTTTGCTGCCACCTTCGAATTACGTCTTTTAAGAAGCTATGCAACTCGTGAGACATTCTCTTGTCTTGTTTTCTGGAATATCTCACACTAATGTGGTCACGTGTAGCTCGATGTCAGGGATGTCAACAAATCTTTGCTCATTGTTCCGGGTTTGGAATGAGCCCAAAATCGCTTAGGCTAAGAACAAAAGGGATTCTCGATTTTGTAGTGGATTTGTTTGCCAGGAACTCACAGACATTTATCTGATCATGCGTCGCAATATCATGGCGAAGACTCCACCCATTAGCTGAATTTTTGTGCTGTACACCGAACAAGGTCTTTTACACCGGACACTGGAATGTACATTGTGATGTAAAGGATATCGGCTTGGAGTGAGAATTCGGAAAACCGAGTTCGAATTCCAGTCGAATTCGTTACACTTGGGAAAGTTATGAATCTATCTCTTATTCATCTAGCTATGGGTTGAATAGCAGGGCAGACTGGCTTCTTTAGCGTTGGTTGGAAACCAGTCTACCGCAGAAAGAAATGGTAGCCTCGTCAGTCATGTATCGAACGATATATGATCGCCAAAGTGTGTATCACATATGGCACTTAACTGACTGACACCGAACAAATTCTCTTAATCCTCGCAGCACTTCCTAATAAACATTTTCATGTTCTTTAATTTTTGGTAGCCTCTTTCTTTCAGATTTTCTCCCCCTTTCTTGCCTCACCTGTTTTATTAAAATCACTTTATTTTATCAGAGTATGTTCACTACGAACCATATTAAATAGTTTTTATAGGGCTTCACTATTAATCTTATCAGTCTTCCCTGAAAAACTAATCTTACCTCCTGTTTCAGATTCCTTCAACTCATTTTTCACTAAAATTATTATATGAACACGTACAACTTTCTCTACACCTCGGCAACGACATCCTCATTTGGTGTGTGTGTAAAAAAAAGTGGAAATTGGAACATTGCCGAATGTACACAAAAGATTGCCTGGCTCATACCCTAGTGATTGGCAGCTGTAATTCCGGGAATTAAGTTCTTATACGTCGTATATCATATGGACGTGTGTATGGCTGAGTATTTATGATGCGCTTTTCGTTTCCTTAGCATAACTGAGCATTTAACCATTACAAATTTGTAGACATTGTAAATACCATACATTTAATTTCCCTGACACTTTTCTTGCTAAGCGGCCGCTGAAGGATTTATGTAATGTTCTGTGTGCGTTGATGAATTCAAAAGAATTGTTTTCTCTTTAAAAATAGTGAATTGACTTAATTCTAATTCTAGTTAATTCCTAAATACAGTTTTGTTAAAATGGAAATAAATGTCTAGGAAAGGAAGAAGAGATGAGGCAACGTTGACCCGGCTACACATATTTCCACACCTCACCCATTCATAACTGCTGAAATACATTTTAACCGAATGTTATCAGTTAGTCACTGTAAGACAAAAATACTGTAAGTAAACCATCATTAGAAAACTATTTCAAAAGGTTAAAACCATCAAGAGAATGTCATCATTAAAGAAATAGGTTTATAACAAAATATATATTGCCTAGAATGGATCAGCTATAAAATATATATCTATGAATCATATATAAAGTATAAATTTAGGTACAAAATATCAGTAGTTGAAGGCTTATGCGTTCAAAATATTTAGATTTCGGTATTAAATGTCCCACGTGGGTTGATATGCAACTAAAAACATTTAACCAAACTAAATATGCTTTACTAAATGTGTGTAAATATTAACCAGATGTTTTAGGGTCGAACACTATCGAAGATACCATTGACGATTATAGAGATAAAAAAAGATTAAAGAAAAAAAGGGATAATTTTCCAGGGTATTTTTTTTTTTTTGGTAGATTAGCGTTTATTAAATCTTCTTCAAGTCAGGACATTTGTCAAAACCGAAAAATATTGAATTTTTCATTTATCGGTTGAGAAGGCGATCATAATATTGATACAAGGACATATAGATCCTTTACTAAATAAATGTAAATATTAACCACCTGTTTTAGGGCCGAAAACTTTCGACTATACCATTGACGATTATCGAGATAAAAAAAAAATTGGTCTACTTTACTGGTTCACAGGTAAAAATATTTACGGGAAATAGTGTTTTTTTTTTTTTTTTACTTTGTAGATTAGCATTCATTACATCTTCCCCAAGCCAGGAAATTTATCAAAATCGAAAAATATTAAATTTTTATCCATCGGTTGAGAAGGGGATCATAATATTGCTACAATGTCCTACAGATTCTCTACTTTTATAGAGTTATCTGCACCTATTTTTCCAAACTCCGTGCCTTGAAAATTGGCGTTCATCATTGTTATCGACATGGTCTTTTATAGCATTGTTAATTTATGCAATTATTTTTAATCAATTAAGAAAATCTAGAACGACTGCAAAGATGTATACATCAGATTTTACTTTAATGAAAAAATATCTTTATGAAGAAACTGAAATTTTTTTTTTTTTTTAAATTTTTGGCTTAATATATTTTCTTAAAATAATACACATACACATATATGTGTGCGTGTGTGTCGGGCACGTCGAAGCGGTGTAATGGTTAACAAGCTTGTCTCGCCAGAAGAATTACTACTGGGTAGTGAGTTCGATCCTCACTGGGTGCCCCCTACTTTCGGCCTTGTGCCCCATTTAAGCTACGCTTGGAAAATCAATATGAGCATCTCGAGGATGGTTAGCAAGTTTGTCTCGCTGGAACAGTTACGACTGAGTAGTGAGTTCGATCCTCACTAGATGCCCCATGCTTTCGGCCTTATGCTAGGAAAATCACAGTGTGTGTGACCGTTTGTTCTTTATTTAAAAGAAAACTTCTTGTCAAACAAAAAAGTCTGTTTCCTAGACGTATATCAATGACATATACACATCTTTGAAACCTGATATTTCTAAATGCGTAAAGTTCAAGTATTCTAAAACGATAAGCATAAATATTTTTTTCGATTCTGGCCAGTGTCGCGACCTGAGAAAGTTTTAACGAAAGCTACTCTACAAAGATTAAATCTCCCCTCAAAAATTTCTGCTATTTTACTGGGGGACCAGTCTATTTAAATTGTTCTGAAAAATCTATGGGTGCTAGTTTTTTTTTTCGGGTTTTTTTAATTGGCATTAGAGTGTTTCAGGATTATGGTTGCGTCCCAGGAAATAAAATGATAATAATTAAAATGCTATGAGAGCGAATAATAAAAATACAGAAAGATGTCGACCAATGTGACATTGGCAATGCAAAAGCATTTGTCAAAGTTTCGCACAAAGATCTATTTGAACTGTTGCGAAAATTTGATTTATTTGAGCCAAATATTAGAATAATCCGGAATATTTACTGGGAACAAAACACCTGCATAATTTTTACTTTGCATATCTAAAATAATAGTCACATTTATAAAGTTTGATTTTACTTTATTTGTTTTTTTACCTCTTTGTTATCCAGGAATAAAGTGTCACTGCTGACACTTTTATTTGTTCATTGGCGATCTATGTTCAAACACAAGACGATTTCATTATTGAAAAAAAAAGTAGATCAAACAATAGACAAACGGCATATTTTTTTTTTAAGCAAATCGCCCCAAGCAAGGCGGGAGTGCCACTAGCACGCAAGGAGTTACAGAGGGTGAGAGTGAGAATAAAGAGGGCTCTTTGGGAAAAGAGAAGGACGGAGATCAAGATCAACGCATCAGAAGATGTCGATTGACATTACATTTGAATATTTGAAGATAATAGCTATCAGGGAAGCAAGTTAGAAGAAGGGAGTTCCACTGACGGCAGGAGGGAAAAGCTGTTGATATTTAGTCGTTTCGACAGTGAAAGGGTGGGACCGAGATGCCAACCTAGTAGCACGCTTAAATGCATGCAGTTTGGGAACCAGTGAAAGTAGCTCATCTGAGCAGTTGCCATGAAAGTACTTGTAGAAAAGACAGAGGGAGGCCACAGCACCTCTGTGAGATACTGATTGCAGACGTGATGCCAGATCAGGACCAACAACTTTGCATATCCGTGTTTAGATTTTGTCGAAGACCTCGAGATGAGCAACGGGAACACTAGACCATATATGGCAGCAGTATTACATGCAAGGACGAATGGTTGATTTGTAAATTTGAAGGATTGACTCAGGCAAGAAAAAAACCTTCTATAGAAGTCCGGATGTATGTCCGCTATCTCTAGTCTATCCTCTATACGATACGGATCATCATTTCTGTATCCTCTATTCGGATCTCTACTCTATTCACTATAAGAAATACTATTCTATGAGTGCTATTCGGAGACGACTGACACCCGTATTGTTCAACGGCGTACTATAGTTCATAAAATTGGCAACAAGGGTCGTTTTCACTATTTATATTGCTTGGACTATCATACTCATCTTTGTTGCCATATTTATTACAACGTTTCAGCCGTGGTACGCTCCGGCCATCTTCAGGTGGTTGGAATGTCGAACTGAACTCTTTATTTTGCTCGCTGGGGTAGACTGCTCTAGTTCCACGTGCCATGTCTAATGGATGTCAGTTAT